TAAACAAAAATGCAAGCAAAAGACGCAAACGGAAATACATGGAAAAGCAAGAAAGAATAGAGACGGTACCTAGAGTAAAGTGTTGAAAACCTCAAGAAAATTTCTTGGGGATGCTTGCGAAGACACAGGCGGTTTGAATACCGGCTGGGTTCTCTGAGGTACCCTCTCAAAAATCTTTTGCTTGCTTGCTACTGCACAGGCGGTCTGAAAACCGGCTGCTCTTAAAACTATGAAGTCTCCGTGTGCTCTGAATTTCAAGTACCGGATGCTCTGAAATGCCGGATGCTCTCAAAATTCAAGAAATTTCACGAAGTTTGTAAATGAGCTCTCGTGTGCTTCCTCCCCTATTTATAGGGGTTGTTCCGGAAGGCGAAGGGGCGCGACCTTTCCCCTTTTGCTTTTCCCTCTTCCTTCAGTTAGAATTTGAAGGGGTTTCAAAAAAAAAAAAAAAAAAAATTTCTCCATCAGCTCACTTCTCAGGTGCCACGTGGCACCTTGCCACGTCAGCACCTGAGAGGGGCAAATGTTTGGGGTAAAATTACCCCAGCCACATGGCCCAATGGCTGAGCGACACGTGGCACCTTGCCATTGGTCAGCAGGGCTCCAATCCCCTGCTGACACGTGTCCTAGGAACCCTAAATGGGGAACCAATGCTCCCCACTATAAATAGTGGGAGAGTCCTCATTAATGGGGTATTCAATTCCTTCCAATTGCATTCAATACAATCATAAAGACATTTACACTAAAACCGAGCAATCTTAATTGCGGAATTCTCCCATTACGCGAGAAGTAATTACTCTTTTACGTACTTTTTTCCTCCCGTACATCACTGACTTGATTGTCGGAGGCGGAGCTCCACCCAATCGGAGTCTTCGTGGTTTTGCAGGTATAGGCGGTCGAAGGGCATTCTTGGAATTGTAACTCTCCCGCATGACACATCAAAAAACCCCGAAACATTAGACATTTTTTCCCATTCCCTTTACCCTCTTCATTCCCCTAAATCCTTCCAACTTGATTCCCCACCCCCTTAGGTATTTCCATTCCCATTCCTTAGCTACCACCACACCACCATACCATCACCCTCCTGCCTACCCACACCATTGGAAAAGCCAGCCGTCGGCGCGTTGTAGTTCCACTCGCCGCTGTTCGTCGCCTTTTCCCTCCCCCCGCAAAACTACCCCCCAAAAAGTTTCCCCAGCCCCGTAAAACCCTAGAAACCACTTCTCTCTCCCCGTAAAACCGTCGTCCGCCCATCCCCCACCCTTGAAACCCTCGGCTAGGGTTTTATGGGGTTGGGGGAACTTTTTTGGGGGTGGGGAGAGTTTTATGGGGGCGGTGAGGGGCAGGGGAGGGTCAGCGAACAACGGCGAATGGTGAGGTGGCTGGAAAAGGAGGGAAGTGAAGGAGATAGGTTGTTGTGTGGTGATGAGACTGGCAGTTTGTTTCTCTTTGTTTTTAAAACAAACAACAAAGTAAATTTGAGTTATTTTCATTCCATTCTCTTTCTTTCTCTTTGTTCATTCCATTCTGATTACCCCATGTGAACCAAACGGCCCCTTAGTATTCGTCCATTCCTTGAGAAGGATAATTGAACGGGGAAAACTTCATAATCTGGGAAAGGATGTTAAGATTTGTCTTAAATTCGAAGGAAGAGAGGATTTCCTTGAAAACCCACTACATGTATTGGCTAAGAATGCAATTGAGCCGATAGGCGCATGTCTAAACAAGCTAGCGATGTTGTACAGATTACTTGCTTGATGTCGCAGCCATGAAACCTGGCCTACAAAGAGGTTTGGAAGGATGGATGATGCCTCTACCATCATACAAGAACTCATGGCCATGTTTTAAAAATAGGCCAGGAGTAAGAGGTACGAGACTCGCTCATCGTGAAATTCTGGAATGTCGTATGGAAAGGGACAATTTGTTGGTAACCATGTATTCAAAATGATTGGTCTTTTTGAGAGCATGGACAATTTGGGTTCCCATATAGCCAACAAGTGGTTACTAATATAGTTCTCCACTCACTCTGATAGCAATAACCATTCAATATCAATGAGTTTAAGAAGATGTTATCTGAAGTGCATGAAATGCTGATCAATGCTAAGAGAAACTTCCCTAAGGAATCCAAGAAGTTATGATGATTCAAAAATCTAAGGGAAGGGTTTCAAGAAAGGGGTAGGCAAGAAGAAGAATAAAGGCAAGAAAGTAGCCAAACCTTCTGAATAGCCATAGCCATCTACCAAAGGCGAAGGCGAGAGCTAAAAGCGAGGGCTAATATTGCAAGAAAGTAGGAGCTTTACACTAGAAACGCAATTCCCCCGTATCTGGTAGCTAAGAAAATTGGTGCTTCCAGGCATTTATGTTATAAAAATTAAGTTGGGGTATTCGATATCAGTTGTGGTTTTCACATAGTGTAATACTCTAGAAATTTTCTTCCTTTAAATATCCCTTTTTTGCCCTTTAATAAACTTGATTAAGGAGATAACTAAGACATTACCGCCACTGTGATAACAATTAAGGCATTTTGTCATAGACACTCAACGAAATTTTTTTCAAAATCTTTCAAAACAAAGTCAAAGTCCAATAAAAGTTAAAATAAACTCAAAGTCAAACTAAGTCAAATGAAGTATCAAAAGATTTATTCTAATAAGCAAATGGAATAAGAAGATTTGATTTGATATTTGATCTGAACTGATCTGATTTTAACAAGAGTAAGGTGACGAAAATAAAACTTAAGTGAGTGGGTTTAAAAAACAATTGAATAAAGTAAAAGATTAAAGTTTAAGGTGGGTGAATGTAAGAATAAGGTAAATAAAGTAAGCCAAAGCAGTGAAAATGTTTATATATGTGGCATAAAAGAGATACAATTGTAAAGGAGTAGAATAAGATAAAATTGAGTTGAACTTACGAAACACCCAATATGGAGAGTATCATATATTATTTATTTTTTTTTTTTTTTAAATATATATTAGGTGAATAGTAGAAATTTAAAGATAATAATGGAAATTCTTACATGCTCTTGTTTCCCATAGTACAATGTGGACTCAGATATACTTTTTTACTCAACTGATACTATTCATCATTGTAAGATTTTAAAAATGAGCAAAAGTTATACCCTTGGGCTCACACCATACCTAGTTACACATATACAAAAGAAGGCGAGAATGTCACACCTACTGTGAGAACATAATTTTTTATGCTCTTCAAGAGGTGCGCCAATATTAGTAATGCCATAAGATCTAATATTAAAGAGATTTGAAACCCTTTGTGATATACAAGGTCACTAAACTGTACGTTGGCATTGAGATACACTATAATATCAATTTACTTAGAAAAAAGTCCATGATACTTAATTTATTGCCTTACAAATACACATACATACATCCAGCTGCTACACTAAATAATTCAGTTTAAAAAATCCCCAGATACACTCCACACAATCAACCCTCTAAATAAAATATAATACTGTCAACTTTTATATGACAGAATCAGAATTATAGAGGGTGGGTAACAAAAAAAATCTGTTTAGGCTGCATCTGTTATATCTTTTCTGATCCACTTAACCACTTCCTCATATCTTAACTTGCATTTGTATTTTATTAACCTTATATATATAAATACAAATTATGTACTATAACAAAATTATATACAATGGACCAAAATCAATCAATTTCCATTGAAGCTAATATTCATTCATCCTATGATAGAGACTAAATCAAAGAATTAGCCTTAGTTTTAAGGTCTTAATTATTACAAATCCCACAAAAAGAAATAGATTAAACAAAGAAGATCAAGAAATGGAGAGGTTGGAGAAATTGAAGAAGAATTTACTAACAAGATGCAAGTCAACCAAGGAGAAAAAGGAAGTAAAAGATTGTATTTTTAGCAGCAACCCTGATACATATACATTGCCTAGGTGCAAGTCATTTCCGCAGTGGTGCAGTCCAAGTCCATCACCTTCGTCGCATGGTAAGGCAAAGAGGTCGGTCACACCCGGGGGATGCTTCTCTGTCTATGTAGGATCGGAGAGGCAGAGGTTCGTGATCAAGGCAAAGTATGCTAACCACCCTTTGTTTAAGATGCTGTTAGATGATGCAGAGGCACAATATGGGTATTGCAGTGATGGCCCTCTTTTGCTTCCTTGTGATGTTGATTTCTTTCTTAATGTCTTGGCTGAAATGGATAGTGATAGTACTGATATTATTCGGCATCATGGCTGTGGCGGATATGGCTCGTATGGTCTACTTAGCCCATCGAAATTGATCAGAATGAACCAATTTTAATAAGTGTATATACAGCCCTATTTTCAGATTTCGCGTTTTATAGGATGATCTGAGTTAGAAGTGGTTGATTTTCTGTTTCTTTGAACATTGTGTTTGGGTTTGAATTTGTTGATATCACATTTGGATTACATGTATTGCAATTATTTCATAGTGTAAATGACTTGATTGTTGTATACTTGTATGTGGTGTTGTGCTGATGTAATGCATGATTATGTAGAAACATACTATATTAATTATGGAAAAAGATTTACAGTTTTCTTATATTATATACGATTTTGAAGACACTGAATGCTTAAATAAAAGAAAAACCGCTAATGCCAATATCGGGAGCTGTCTAAATAAAAAAAATTAGTTAAAAATAAAAATTTTACAAGATAAAAAAAATTATTTACTCCTTCCGTCCCAGATTTTTTATAATGCTTGGGATTGGACACATTTTTAGAAAAGTAGTTAAAACTCGTCAAAGAGAATTAAAGAATGTGTGAAGACTGAAGAGGTGTTTAGGACACCCAAAAGGCCCAAAATTAAATGGAGAATTTGGTTGATGCCTTAAAGGTAGGACTATTGGCAACGACTCTGCTTCTACTTTTTCTGTTTTTGTAGCAGCTCACAAGTTCTGTTTTTGGGCTTAAAGTTTTTCAAAAGTACAAAATCTTGATGGCCTTGATCATAATATCTGAAACAAAGATTTATTTTGCAGAATTATCAACAGTAAAATACTTTTCGAACTGGTGTCCTTCACAGTTATGTTTGTCAATACATGATTTGCATTATTTTTCACATTTGATACATCTGCATAGATATGCATCTTATACACCTGCATAAATATACATCTTATCGAATTCTATAGCTTTAACATAAGCATAAACACTCAACAGTATGGTATAAACGATAACAAATGGAAATGGAAATATTGTAGCTCGAAAACTCTCCTAGCTCTTAGTCTATAAGCTCACAAATTCCATCTTCAGTGTGTGGATATTTGAGTTCAAGCTCTTCCCCATCCATTGATCTGCGAATAGACGTAGAACTATACTACTATGTACCACAATACAAATATATATAACTTGTAATAAAGAGCAACATCAGGACAATTAAACTTTTCCTTGTTATATCCTTATATCCGCATGATTTCTTCTTCAAAGATTTTCATAGCAGAGGCTGGCATCCCAAGATGCACATTTATGCTTCTCCTATCTTCTCCACTAGGAAGAAACAACGCGACCTCTTTTTCAGGCACACCCACAGGCCCCGTGTAAATTGTCTCCCCCCATCCAAAGTTGGGGGAATGAAAAGCCAGTCTAGACCAAGCTGTGATCAATAGTGTACCATTCATAGAAGGCCTAGCCCTGGTCAACTCAAAGTAGTCTATGGCCGATCTCATGTAACTGTCGGTAACTAGCTTAACTGCTCCTTGAACCAACTCTACCGCGTGTGACAAAGGGGTCTCAAGGAGATCCCCTGCTTTGCACAGCGCGTTAGTGAGAACAATCCCGTTACCAAAGAAACCCTTAGGTAGCGGAGGATCAAATTTAGACCGGCCATCAACTGCAAAGAGGAGCTTTGTTTGTTGATCAGGATGCATTCTCAGGGCTTTGCATCTAGCTCTCCAAACCAAGGCAGTTAATGCTTCAAAAGTAGTGCATTTGCTTAAAGCTCCGCTTTCTAAAGCTTTTTCCTTCAATCGTCCTAGCTTCTCAGGGCTGAATGGAAAGGCTCGGTGCACCATTTCTTCATCATACAGCTCATGGGTGTATGATATGTCCTCAATATCAAGGAATTCATTCTGAGGGAATTCAATCTGAGGTGGATCTCTTGCCTTGAGGATCGTTCTGTCTAAAGAGGGAGGGGTGCTTAATGGTAATCCTCGCGCTATTTCACCCCATGAGTTGATGAACTCCACTGCAGAAATCCCATCAGCCATGCAATGGTTCATGGCTAAGCCTACTGCAAAGGCTCCACAGCTGAACTTTGTGACCTGCATTCATAACAATAGATGAAAGAAGAAATTAAACCTTGTCAGAAACCTTATCATCTGTTCATGTTCATAATTAGTAAAGTACCTATGTATTTATTTATCGCAAAAGTATCCTTGAAATTTAAGGGAACATACTAGAGCTTAAATATTAACTAAAAATTCTAGCTTAGCAAAACTTTCGAGCATGTCAAAAAGAATTTACAGCAGATTCAATATGGAATTGTGAAAACCTCTAGAAACATATTAAAAATGTTTTTGCACACTAAGAATGTGATACTTCCTCCGTCTTTTTTTTTAATCGTACCTGTTACACTTTGACTTATGCTATTATGCTCCACTTAGACTATCAACAATGATTTATAGTTAAAGAAAAATATAGTCATGGTTCTTGTTAGATTCACCTCGATTCATGTAATTTTACATATGAAAAAAGCAAGTTTTTTTTTTTTTTTTTAAACTAAACAATGATTATTTTTCTATAAAAGTGATTTGGCTTAAAAGTCCCAAACTCTTAACTAAGGTAAAGAAAAAGGACATCACAAGTCATAACAGTATAAACATCTCATATTTCAATTAATTTCTTAACCATTTTAGGTAATTCTCACCAAATTATTTATTAGATAAGGAAAAATAATATAAGATTTTCGGACCTCAATGGACAAAAAATACCTGAACAGTGAAAATAGGAGTCTCAATTATATTTTTAGCACCAGGAACATCATATATAAGGTTCTTTAGCACCATGGGATCAGCACCAGCTATGCCAACCAGCTCTAACACAGAGCAATTTGCCTCTGCCTCGACAAACAGCGGTCCTTCTCCGATACAATCAACGATCAACTTACCCTCAGGACTCATAGTTAGCCGCCCTGCAAGAGGGTAGAAATGAACAAGAACCTTAGACAATGATTCTCTGACAATTTTTGCAGCATCTGCATTTCCTTTCTCTGGTGACTTGTACAAGTAAATTGTCCTCATTATAACAGCAATGTTTTGGTCTAAGTTGCACAAGAAGTAATGCCCTTTTTCTGTTTTCTCCACTGGTGGAACTCTTGTTGGCTCTTCTTGCTTGATTTCGAGCTCGAATTTCCCATCACAAGCAGCACTCCCCATATTTATTTATTTTTTTCTTTGTTTTGAAACAACTTGAAAAATCTGTCCTGCTAGAACATACACAGATTTATTACTATTAGTTTGAATCACATAAACACAATAATGTAGCGTATCAACACAACATAACAAGGCATACCAAGATATCGTCAAAAATGGAAAATCTATAGAATGAAAAGTTTACTTTCTTGATTATAATTTATGAAGTAATTATGAAAATATAACAAGGTGTTGAAATACTATTAGTAATAGCTTGAATTTTGCATGAAGAAATGGAATTCATATGACTTTTAGGTGAAATAAGTTGCATATATATATACACACAAATAAGGTACACTTGTAATATACACTTTTGGAAGAAGTCAATTTGTAAATAAAAAAAAGTCTAGTTTGGTGATGGTAGTAGCTGAACTGGGACACGCGCATTGCTGTAATTGCATATAACTCACACGGAACCTTATTACAAGCGAAGCAGGTTAAGATTTTTCTATTTTTTCACTTTTTTACTTTTATTTATTTATTTATTTTATTTTTTTTGTTTAAAAGATTGATGAATTAAAGAATGATTGATATAAATTTTTAGATTTCTAGACTTTAAGACAGTCTTAAACTTTTAGATTCCTAGACTTTAAGTTAATCCTTTAGTAATTAATTTTGTTAACTACTCCTTTGTTTTTTCATAAATTTGAACTAACCATATGTTTAGTAGCCGGTTATAAATGGTGGTAATGAAAATGAATTTATCAAGATTTCAAATCACTATACTTTTATTTAAGCAAATATGATAATCAATAGAAAATGTGTTAATAGTGTCTAAATTGAGCAATTACTAAAGAAAGAAGAAAGTATATAATACTGGATTGCTTTCTTCTAATTATAATTATCTTCTAATTAATCAAATACGTGCTACTAATATTACGAAAAACTGATAATCTAAAATTTTAAATGATAATCTTGGATTGCTTTCTTCACAATTTCTAGTACAACATTTAATCATAATTATCTTCTAATTAATCAAATACGTGCTACTAATATTACGAAAAACTGATAATTTAAAATTTTATATCAAGACGAATCAAATAAGATTGCAGGTGATTATGTTTTTATTATTTTCAAAAAAAAAAAAAAAAAAAAAAACCGTTAGTCAGTTTATATGGTTCATGCATTCAAAACAAAAAATCCACTCACACAACGCGTCACGTGCATAAAGACTAGTTATCATACATGCATTAGCAAGTATTGGAAAAATCTTACTTCCTCCGTATTGTTAACTGCAACACTTGCATTTACTTGAAGTTTTAGGAGAATTTATTTGCTTTAATGTTATATTTTAATCAATATACAATATGGACCATGATGAGATAACTTGCGAGAGAGATTAGTTATCAATAATCAATCAATAACTTAATACTAAAATATACACCGGGAGTGATATGTGTTACATCTTGGTGCTGTTTTTTTTCCTCCAAACTCCCCCTCCCTTTTTAGCAAAAAATATTTTATTTTTGATATATTTTTATAATAAAACTATAATAGTATTATTCCAAACTTATATATTATCTATATATAAAATGTATTCCTTTTTATTGTGTTCTAAAATTTTCCATGCACATTTACCTAAAATAGTTTTCCAACTCTTTTTAAATTATCTTTTAAACGAGTATTATTGAGTTTTACCGAAAAAGTAATAATAAAATTGATTCATATCGAAGTAATTGATATTAAAGAAATTAGTTTAAAACATCACTTTAATTTTTTTTTTTTCAAATTCCTTTTTATTTTGTTTATTAGACTAATGGAGTATTAGATATGACTTTAAAATAAATGTTGTGTTCGACAACTATAATATATGTCTAGTTCGAAAATGTAAAATATCAATCAATTTTTTGTTATTACATTATTTAAAAAAGTAAATATCTTAGTAAATACAAAAAAGTTATTACCTTTTGCTGAAACACTTTATTGAGATAATTATTTTATCACATTTGACATTCATAAATAAGCTGCATTTTAAAAAACACGTCGGACATAGTGACAAGTGACATTTTTTTTTTTTTTTTTTGTAAATTAGCTATCATCGACAGATAAAATTTTAAGGCAATAAACAAACAATGATCAAACTAGAATTATTGGATAGCTTTCAAACACATTTTTATATAATAACAAAGAGCGATGGTATCATGTAGAGCATCAATTCATAAACAGAAAATGTACTACTAATAATATAGGTTAGTGTTGTCTAATTATTGATTGTTATTGCCTTTAATGATCTAAGTAGTATTTATTTCCAATGAAATTATTTTATTGGATATAAAGATGATATATTATTTAATTTGTAATTTATATATTTACATGTATGTTGTGCCAATAGTTTTAATGTAGATTTTAGTTTGTTGTTTGATTAATGTTTTGATGTTTATTAAAAGGTATTTATATATAAGTCTTAGTCATATAGTCACTAGATTGTATACTTTTATTGGGAATAATATGCATTATTAATGTAATATAATGTATACTACATTTAAATATTATCAACTCAACTTATCAACAATAAATTTTTTTCTTTCTCAATTGTAGTTTTAATGAATTTTGCCTTATTTATTTTATTTTTCTATATATATATGCATTGCATTTGTTTATACCACATGACTTGCCTCATTTTTATATTATATCAAAATTCATTTTGGGAAAAAGATTATTACTACCGTACAACACACGGGCACTAATTTAGTTTTTAATCATTTTAGGACCATAAAATACAGAAAAATAAATTTACTTGAAGTTTTAGGAAAGAGAATAAAATATGGTATAGTGTTACCAAACATATATAAAAGTGATGAAGTAAAAAAAAACACCCAAAAGTTATAAGTGATGCATTTAAAAATCCGAGAGAATAATTTATTTAAATAGGAACTATTTATACAAAAAATTATTTAGGGAAAATGATTTATACAACCGATAGGATTGCATAATCTAAGGATCCATAAATAAAAATAATTGTGTTACTGATAGCCTTAATCACAGTGATCAACGCATGATTAAATATTTTATTAACCTAGAAAAAAAATTAGATGCTTATACAGTTACATATCTTAGCTTACAAACATTGAAACATTACTGTTTTAGTCCTTCCTTTTAGTGCAATTTGATTTTGAAACTATTCATACCATAATTTTGACTATGATTTCTTTACTAATAACAATATATATATATATATATATATATATATATATATAAGGTATAATTTTATATGATGATAAAAGTATTTTTTTTTTTATAATTTCATAATGTTAACATTTTACAATATCTAAATTACATAATATTAAAGATCAATAGTATCACATGTAGTATGCCGAATTGTGTAAAAAAAACATTTTTATTTACTTAATATAGAGAGTCACAAATTATAGTGATATACCGTATATAGATTTTAATCTCATGTATTGAATATTTTCCTAATAATATTAAACTAGGTTAAAATTTCATGTGTTAAATATTTTTGACAATAATATATAAAATACTCTGTATAAAGTAAAAGATATGCAGAAATATTTCATTTGGGTATATATGAAAAAGTTAGGAAAAATTTTCACAAGGTAATGACAAGTTTCATTGGTTATTCGCTTTTAGTATAAGTTAATAAATTGGGTATATATAGAATATGATTGTCAAACTAGAAAGAAAATATCATAAGGTATAAATAATTTACTTAAAAGCTTTGCCAAAAAAAAAAGAAAAAAAAAATAAAGCGAAAGAGGCGGGAAAATTTTTCACAAGGTAATAACAAGTGTCATTGATTATTCGCTTTTAGTATAAGTTAATACATGATAATAATTGGATAACTCTAAATAATAACATTTTCTGAGAAATGTGGTCCAAATGATACCATGTGGCAACGGAAAATTAAAGCTATAATTAAGAGGAGTCCATGTAATATTTCAATCCTATTGTTTAAGGAAATTGTACTCCTAATTATTAAAAGCCCTTTCATAGAATCACAGGTTACCTACTTCAAGCCCGAAATAAGTATCATCCCATTCCTATGCACAGTCTTTCAATGTAAAAGCATTTTTGCCTGAAGGATCCTATCATTTGGTGTTATTGTCAAGTTAATACAGGAAATATTGAATACATCCAAATATAGTTGAACTTTTTGCCAAACTCTTTGAGAAATTATATGGGGTAATGTTGAAGCGTAAACTTCACAGACATATACATGCAAGTGTTCTATATTGAGAAAAGAAGAGAGAAAAATTGCAAACTTTTTTTTTTTTTTCATCCAATTCTGATTATTATTTCTATCCACACTAACCCTAATAATATATTATTTTTTTCTTAATTATTGTTACTTTTTCCCATTTATTTAAATAACCCACATGCATCCTACAATTTTCTTTAAAATTGTGTGTCAAACTTTCCGTTATTCTGAAATGAAGTGAATAACTCACAAAACTTTACTATCATAAAATTACTCGGCTAGTAAAGTACGTACATTTAATTTGTTGATGCATAAAATGTGTAAATCTTTTTATGGTGGGAGGAACAATAGTTTTAACACAATTAAAGGGAATATAGAGAGCTATCATTGAAGAATTGAAGACAATAATTAATGTAGTAGTAATAGACTTACACTCACTCTACTCCCAAGAATATCTTAAGGCCTTGTTTGGCTGGATGTAGGAAGTAGAAATTCACATGAAATCTCAATTCCTATGAAATTGTAATTCCTAGGAATTTTTAAAAATTGTTTGGGTGGATGTAGGAATTTCCACTTCTCATGGGAAGTTCTACTTACTTAGGGGGGACTAGGTAAGTTAATTCCTCCATTTTGTGGGAAGTAGAACTTCCTAGGAAGTCCCAATTCCTACATTATTGTCAACCAAACAAACATGCATAAATTCATTTCCTTGGAAATCAAAATTTCCATGAATTTGTTTGTCAACCAAACAAGGCCTTATAGTTTATCAAGCATGATTGTTGTTGCATTCCCAACAAATCCAAACATGTAATACTTAATTAATCAAATTTTGGATTGTAAAGAAGAAACTAAAAGGTTAATCTTGATTGTATGTAAGTGATTAAATAAATTTGATCATTCAGGTTTGGTGAGAATCTAGAATAATAAAGTTTGTTTGGTGTTATAGTCTCAACTATATAGAATAGGATAATATATTATACATAAGCTTTATTAAATTTGTTAAATTTATGATAACTAAAAGAATATTCAATAGAATTGATTGTTCAAGAAAGTAGAATGTGATAGGATTGGCTATTAAGAAAGTAGATAGA